ATCGCTCCCTGGATCGAAAGCAGTTGGGATCTTGACGGCGTTTATGGAGTACATTCTCCCAGTCGGGGTGATGTTGTTTGCCCACATCCGTATCAGTGTGGAGCTGAAGCGGGGCGCGGCCCGTGTAGGACCGGCACCGCCCGGAGCAGCTGCCGGTACCTCCGCCGAGCCATCTCCAGAGGCGGGTATGATGGGGTCCCTACTCAAGGCGAGACGTAACACCTTTAAGACACTCTTGACGGTGTTCGTCACGTTCCTGGTTTGCTGGACCCCTAATCAGGTGATCTTTCTCACCTACAACCTCGGTTTGTATCCGCTGCAATTCAACGAGTGGTTTTACTTGCTGTCTGTAGCGATGGTGGCCGCTAATTGCTGCGTCAATCCGTTCATCTATTCATTTAAGTACCGCCAGTTTCGCAGTGGGCTGAAGGAGATTTTTAGCGGGAAATCCAGCCGCAACGCACATCTCCTGGCTAGGTCTAGGTCATTACGTTTACCTTCTACGCAACCTACCACGCTTTCCGTCCTTTAGACGCCATTGTTGGACGATATACTGTTCTGTGTATTCGATGAATTACCAGTTGTCAGTCAAATTGACATGATGATTGTTAGACTGTTAGTATTGTTGTGTATATTATACCAGACCTCTGTGAAGGGGTTACTCGGTCGGGGCTTCATTATACCGGTTTAAATCAACAGTTTGGTCCTGTATAGTATACAAATAGTGAATGCTTCGAGTGGTGTAGTAAAACTAGCCTCCCGAGGTGATGCATGGACATTCTATTTTCCCGAGGCGAAGCCGAGGTAAAATAGAATGCTCCATGGATCAGCGACGGAGGCTAGTTTTACTTCACCACGAGATATAGCATTCAATATTTGTTTTATAACACTTCACCCACAGATTCTGCTTGGTTTTAATATTTTAAATTATTTAAATCTGAACACAGTTGAAATAAACTTCAATTGTAATACAAAATTGGTGGAAAATGTATTTTTCTCTTCCAAATTACCCCTTCGCGAAATGTTTGAACCCAACTCTGTGATGGAGCGCTCTCTTTGGAACAAAACGCGCTACGCGCAACGCGCACTCCAGCATGCATTTGCACACAAATACCGCGCCGTGGAAATAGTACTTTGGTTGCTAATGGTATAGTACTTTGGTTGCTACGGGTATAGTACTTTTGGCCGTGCACAGAAAGATAGCAAAAATAAAAAGTATCATGTGACTCGCTCTCGGCCAATCAAGACACAGAATTTGTGGGTGAGGTGTTATAAATTACATTATGAAACAATCTTGTAAGTTCATAGTATGGTTCTAAATGGTTTCGGGCTGTAGGTTCGGTGCTGAATGTTTTTTTTTGGCGCAATGGCATAGTGGTTCACGCTACATGGATCGGGGTTACCTTATGGTATCGGGTATGGTCGGGCTAATTGTTCGAGACTACACAATGGTACCAATTTGTGTCCACATAATGGTTCTCTGATATCGGCTGCATGTTTTGAATTACATATCCGTGGGGCATTATAGCGGGTAAGTCTAGCGCTAGGGCCTATATGGTACGGGTTCTTCGTACCATTATGATGTTCCAGGTCAATGGAAAACAACATCAAGGTAAAAAGCAAAACAATCACGGTACCGGTCGCAGAATTTTTTTAATTCATTGGCATCAGTGTAGTAGATTCTAAAAACATGCGAGTTTCTTTCTGCAATATTTTCCCAAACACTTATTCTATAAAATACGATAACAGATACCTTTTCGTTAGTTTATTAAAATACTACACAAAGGCGTACAATTCGCTGTTGGAGGATGGAGGTAAAACTAGGTTAATTAAATCCCGGCATTTTTTAACCTTTGCAATTTTCAAGAGTGGGTGAGAAGGCAAATTCTGCAGTTGACTATCCATTTCTCACGGAATCTTTGAAATTAAAAACGCCATAATCTCAAATATGGTATCAAATTGAAGGGAACAACAAGACCTTCCATTTAAATGATGTTCCAGTGAGATGGAATCTGGTTAAGCGTATTTTTCCCCCAAACTGGTATTTGCCTAAACTTATGGGTTATTGGTAGAGTCATTTTGGCACCTTGGTTTTACATGCAAAACGTAAAAGGTTATTGTGAGTTGTTGTTAGGGAAGAGGAGGGTTCATATTCTATTCAAAAGTGTTTTTGCTGGATTGTTATTTTTTTAAATGTTTTAACTGGTACCCAACACAGGCGGACAAACTGTAACGTGAGATACCCTGAGTTAATACCAAAAAAATATCCCTCTATTGATGATTTTTTTTTATTGTAAAGGTAGAATACACTGAAATCAAAAAATCAAAAAGTCAAACTCTGATAACTCAAAACACCTGTTTAGTCAAACAAGGAATTCATTGCCTTCATTAACTAATATGGTACCCTGCTTATACTCAAAACTCTGCTGAAGTCAAATTTTGAACCTGTTCCATTGAGGTTTGACTGATCAAGATTTCACTGTATGACTTATACCCTAATAATGTAGGGACACTAAAAACATTTTTTTTTTCAGTGCACAGCATGAGGACAACTTTCAAATGCAAATGTATCTATATATTTTCCATGATTTAGTGGGGTGCTGTGGTGCAATGGTTACGGTGTTCAACTCGTGGTACATGGGTTCAAATTCTGACCGTGGGAACATGGTGCTTGTGCTCTTGAGCAAAGCACTTTACCATTATTGCTTCGTCCTTCGGATGGGACGTAAAGCCGTAGGTCCCGTGTGTTGTGTAATGCACGTTAAAGAACCCACTGTAGCACTTATCGCTAAGAGAAGGGGTTTGCCCCGGTGTTTCTGGCAGTGGCTGCAATATGCGCCGCATCACCTTGTACACCCTTATAAGGTGCTTCATAATGGGTCTCATATCTCTCATAAACTTTATTTACCTTTCTTTAATAATAGACATATCTCCAGCGCCTTGAGTACCTAATTGTTGGTAGATACGTGCGCTATATAAGACTCCGATATTATATTATTATTATATGACCATTTTGTGTAACGTGAGTTACTGATGAAAAAAACTTACTGTCAAACCGACAGAGGTTTATTATGTTGGCATTTTAAATGTAGTTTAAGCAATTGTTTTCAAGGGATCTTATATGAGAAAACTCCACCGTAAATGCCTTGACTTTATATAGATTAACGGCATGCACAGAATTGATAGAAGACCCCCTTCAAATGATACGTGGGGTATCATGAAATCGCCCATGAAAGCCCCAAGTTCATTTAGGTATCTCCACAGCTCAGCATCACGTAGGAATTATCAAATACATGAAACTGTAAATTGTCGATTGCAAATTGGCGGAACTTAAATAATGTCGTTGCCTGATTTCCACCATGCATGCACAGTATACTAATAATAAAATTGTAACGCACAGTTCACCTATAATAAAATTGTAACGCACGCTGGAGGTGACGGATATTTAAAATACCACTACGCTTGCAAGCAGAAAGGAACACACTCAATTGTTAACACCCGTAGTTGTCAAACAGTTGACCTATCGCGGTAGAATCGCGTTAGAATCGCGTCACCACATGAGTGAATGGTAATTACATGAGTGATTTGAATGACTCTTGTACTAAAAAAAAAATTATAAATTTGGCTTTCAAATCCTAGATTTTGCAGTTGCTACATGCAGAACTTCACTAAAAATGGTCCCAACAGTTGGGTTTCGTATTTTTTACTCACCCTGTTTAATTAATTGTTGGCTCAATGGGATAGATTTATAACGCTTGCTTATGCTTTAAGGTTCAAATTATTGAACAATTGTAATTAAAACACCGAGCTACCGTGCCCGGTTGCTGCTACATGCAGAAATACCCAAATCAGGATGATTTGATTGTTAATTGTGCATACAGGTGTTGCATTGATAAATGTCAGTACTATTCCATAGTGCGTTCCTAAGCTTTCCTTTTCATTAATTTCTTTGCCCCCTATTCCGACTGACCCTGTTTTGGGCTAACTACCCAAGAAAAAAACAACCTTATTTTGTTATTTCTGCCGACCCTGCCAGAACCACATTACCGAAAACGAAATTACAATTGAACAAATATTGAATACAAAAGTCAGGCATTCAGGCACTGTGTTATTTGACAAGCTATTAAAAATGAATACCAGATTTTCCCTCGCAACGTACGGCGTATAGCAACCAGTGGAATCCCACAAGATGAGAGGATGTTGCCTCTCATCGTATTAGGTGTCTATAGTATACATTTACTGGTATGTCATTGCTGCCACTACATCCAAAACGTTAGTGCGCTGCTCGGTGCAGACAATACGTGCTTGGCATCATTTAATTTAGCCATATCTATACGATTGCAACTGCAACTTCTTTTCTTCAGATTGTTTATTTTGTTCGACCGACCGACCCTACTTTCAGAGGCAAAAACAAACATGAGAATCATAGAAATGAAAAGGGACACCCTGACCTCGGGAACCGACTTTAATTACCGAGTGTTTTCACTATTCCGAACTGTTTTGTAACTAATTTCATTTACATCAATTTACGGTGGAAGTTACGTGTCGTGCTACGAGGACTCCCAAGGTTAAACAAGCGCACACGGGGAAAAATTCACCTGTGATGAAATTAAAGAAAGTTATTCTTATAAAATTACTCTTTCTCCGGGAAAACGATCAGTTACAATTGTATTGTTTTCGTATTGTTCGTGGCAAATTTAATCTTGGACCGCTATACACACTATTTTAAGACACCGCAAGGTCTGTTTTACGCTTGATATCTTTGTTTTATGCCTCTAGTTTAAGATGAAAAAAATTGTGGTAAATTTGCACCAAATTTGCACTACATTAAGTCAACTGATATGTGTTTGTGTTGAAGTTCTCGCGTGGGGACCTTGACTTGCATGTATATATTTTGGTGGGCGCTGAAATGTGTGCAAACGGGACTTGATGTTGTAACAGACAGGATATCGACACTTCAGTTTCTCGTGGATGGTACTGGCTTTGCGAGTACTGTCGCTATGGAGGATATCCTGGTATTGCGTATCTACAAGACCTTCATAGGCATCTTCGGCATCTTGGGCAACGGTCTCGTCTGTGTTGTCATCGGTAAAGTCTCGGCGATGCAGACTCGCACCAACGCCTTCATCTTCCACCAAGCTGTGGTCGATTTCTTGGGCTCGACGATCATCCTCTTGACCAGTGAGGTCCCACTGCCTGACCCCTTACCCGATGACAGCCTGGGCCGGTTTATTTGCCTCGTATGGCTCTCTAACTTCCTGCTGTTTGTCCTCTTCGTCATCTCCACCTTCAACCTGTTGTCGCTGACCCTAGAGCGGTACTTCGCCATCGTCTACCCGTTCAAGTACCAGGCCGCCTTCGCCGAGCATCCACACCTCAAAATCGGAGCGGTCATTGGAGCCTGCTGGATCATCGGCGTGGTCATCAAGGTCTACAACTTGATCATCTTCAAGGTGGAAGACGGCAGGTGCCTCTCCAACGCTGCTGCCCGTTCCCAAGCCGTGGGCATCCTGACGGTGGTCCTGGTGTATTTCCTGCCAGTGGGGGTCATGTTCTTCGCCTACATGCGCATCAGTTTGGAGCTGAAGCGGGGAGCGTCTAGAGTCGGCCCGCAGCCCGCAGTGGCGGCTCCCGCCAGCGCCAGCGGTCCCAGCACGTCCGGTGGTGCAGGAGCGTCATCATCCACGGAGTCCGGCATGATGGGGTCTCTCCTCCGGGCCCGGCGCAACACCTTCAAGACGCTCCTGATCGTCTTCATCACCTTCATGGTCTGCTGGACGCCCAACCAGCTCATCTTCTTCATGTTCAATCTTGGCTGGAAGACCCAACCCAACGAGTGGTACTACTTGCTGTCAGTGGCGATGGTGGCCACCAATTGCTGCGTCAATCCGGTCATCTACGCCTTCAAGTACCGGCAGTTCCGCAACGGTCTGAAGGAGATGTTCTGTGGTCAAAAGTTCCGCGCTGATGACATGGCCTAAAGGATTGATACATTTACTAATAGCTACTATTTTATCATACTCTGTTATAACCACGAAAACGTCAGGAAATGTTTACTCTTTCCATCGTTCAAACTAAGTAGATGGACACCTTTGTAGGTCTACACTGACTAATTAAAGGCACGTATATAAATTTAAAAAAAAAAACATTGGCAGGTCCGGAAACGGTCTTACCGATTTAATGGGGGAAAAAATGCTCAAAGTGAAGATAAGGACGACACCAAATATACTCTGGGAAGTTTATTTTTTTTCCGCCCGTAATGGTATCGTTCGGAAGTCAATAATCGTTGAAGGTGGTTTTCAAAAAGGATAACAGCGGGTACTTTTTACGAACGTCAGCAAGGGGATAACAAAAATGTGCACATATTTTCTGTAGTAGCAAACAAGGTGTAACGTTAACAAGTTAGATGTTATGCACGTACCTTACTTACGATTTTAAGCAATTTTGTTGCACTTAGTGGCAGAAAAACAATTCAAAGATTCTTCACTATCTGTAATCATGCACTGACTCGTAGTAGGATATTATACTAGCTTTCACTTCTGCGTGTATATGCCTGCTCACCTAGGCCCACGCAATAAATTGGAGGCATTTCAAAATATCATATAAATTAGACAACTATTGACCACGTGGCCTTGTCGTCGGCAATGCCATTACCAGTTAATATTGCCCATCATCTGAAATCTTTGTAATTAATTAAAGGGTCAAACGTTCTTGAAATTAGCCATCAAAGTTGAAACAGCTGTCAGCTGTGTGACTGTTTCCTACTAGTCAAATCTAACTACAATCCTGGCCAAATCTCGCCCCCCCCCCCGGGCCCCGTTCAATGTTGTCTCTCATTGCGCGGTGTGTGCTTCATCAGCTGGAGAGAACAACATTGACCGGGGGAGCGGGGGAATGGGTGACCGTGGCAGGCTCATCAGGAAGTGTCCCAACCATTGTGGTCGGGATTGTAGGTGTTTTTAGAGTGTAGGTTGTTAATGAGCATCGATTATGATTCATTTTTCTCTCTTGTAAATTACAATGAAAAGGGTGTATTTTTCTTCTTGTAAAACATAGCTATCACTACGTGCATAAATGAGAACAGTTGTTCGTACTTTCACATGCATTCGCAATTGTTTCATCGTTCACGTGTAGACTAAACCAACCTACTGGAAAAAGACAGAAAAAGATCCATTCGTCTGGTACCTCCCTGATACATATATCCCCCCCCCCCCAAAAAAAAAAAAAAAAAAACAGGGGAAAAGACATCAGCAGTTTAGGTTTTTTTTCCTCGTGTGATGAAACTTTGAAGTCGCGAGTAATATGAAAGAAAACAACTCAGAAAACATCTTCAATGAGCGTCAAACGGAAACGTGCCCAAGATCTGACATTTCGTTCAAACGCTGAAGTCTTTGTCGCATACGACAATCACTGTATCCCACTTTATAAATGGACATTATGTGAAGACTGGTACCGTTTCCACTTATGCGATACATGAATTTAGGCTATCAAAAAAATACCATTAAACATGACTATAATGCGGTGAGGAAAGCTGCATGCACGTGCCGTAACGTGCGCGACACGAAGCCTAGTTTTATTACTCGCCCATGCTTTTCCCCCAAACAATCAACCTTTGTAAGTAACATTTCGTTCCCCCGCTGATACTCACGGCTTCATTACATCATTTCAGACGTAACTTAATAACAAGTTGTATTAGGGAGAAGACCCTGATTTTTCTTTTCGATGTGAAGCATCGCTCATGGACCAAGACTGGGTAAGCCATATTAAGGCTGATCCAGACCAGACACATAATACATCACAGTCATGGGCGTCGCTAGGTTTTTTTAAGAGGGTGGCAAAACATATTTTTCCCAAAAAATCCCTGTATTTCTCAACATATTCACGATTTATCAGTTTTAGAGGGGGGCAGGGACATTTTGCCGCCCAACCCATTAAATTTTAACCAATATGACTTCGCGCCTCTTTTTCTTTTTTGTTTTCTCTTTTTTTTCTTCCTTTTTTTTTTTTTTTTACTTTTGGGGGGGGGGGGGGGGGCAAGCGCCCCCCCCCCCCTTGCGACGCCCATGATCACAGTGCTTCGATTCAGAATGGCTATTTACTTTCATGTACCTGGTCTGTACACAATGGGCCAGTTATCATTAGTATTTCGGAGAAGTCCTTTACCATAGCGCTGTGTGAGCTCTTTGCACCAGACACAATAGTCCAGGAACCAGACCAGATGTTGGTACCACCGGAGGTGGCAAAACTTTAATGGCGTTAATTGCTTTGTTTCATCACTACAAGTGAAAAAGATTTATAAAAATTGCCTTTCGTAATGAAGGGTTTAATATATTTTTTATGCAGTTACTCCTTTTAACGTAAACCTATGTGCATCAGGGGGCCGGGTGGGGCCACAGTTTATAATAATATTACTCCTGAATGCTTCGGCTGGTCGGCATGAAATTCGATGATCTCTCCAAACTTCTACCAGGGTCCAATATGGTACACACCGAATTATGGAGGATGCCCATATTGTGACTGTTGACAGAACCCAATGTTTTATTTACCCAGGCTTATCATGTATCTTTACTTGAGACTACAATTTATGACCACCTGACTATAACAATGCATGCTGGGAATCAAATATTGGTATTGGTTCGACCCCATCCAGTACGGAAGACGGATAGTGCCATTTAATAAGTCGGAATATATTTGTTTGTACGTGTGAAAATATTTTTTTGTACAGCGGCCGCCAGTTATTATGTGGCGGCCGCTACGTACAAAAAAAATATATTCATACTTATTGAGTGGCACTATCCGTCTTCCGTAGTCCAGAGACCCTTCTCTACTGACTTGAATAAAACATGTGAAATGTCGTATTAAAGAAATAGGTCAGTTATATTTTCCAGTAGTCAAGGCAGAATGAGCCTTGCATGAATGGTGAAAATTGGGTTCTGTTCTCAATGCCAATATATCCAAGTCAAAGGATGTAGCAAGGTCATTTTTATTTGGCGGGGGGATTTCTTGTAAAGGGCACTTGCACATCCGAGTCCGTGCTGAAATTTAGACACTTTTTTCTGCGGACACTTTGCCTCCGTAGAATAAAATAGTTTTTTTTTTGGGGGGGGGCATTTTTCGATGGGGGCGCTGTTCAAAACCGACCATTATGCACACGAAACGGACAATCATGGCGCTTTTTAGGGAGATGTGCGTGCGCGCTCATTTTTGGGGGGGTTGGGGGGTTGGGAGGAATACCTCCTCACCGACCCCCCCCCCCCCCCCAGGCTACGCCTAATGAATGGCATTCTGGGTAACTTATTATGACCTAGATATAAAGACATAATTATAGCTGCAGGTTTTTAAAGGGTAAATAGTAGCCAAAAATATCGGAAAAGGGAATAACCAAAAATATCCAGCATGCAAGGCATGCAGCAGCTATTTTTCAGAGATCATCGAATAGCCTACTGCATTATTAAGCACACATTTCATAAAGGATGGGGGGGGGGTTCATTCCCCTAGCTCTGTCCAAATGTTTTTCATCGAAATTACTTACAAATAATGCGAACCCCCCCGGAAAAAGGTCTACATTTCATTTTTTATTTTTTTTTGCTGATGAACCCACCCACCTCGGGAAAATTTCTGGATACGCCCATTTCGCCTGTTGTGATCCACGCTTTTGGCGAGTCGTTTATATTCATCATCGGAAGTTTTTCAAGGTGTCAAAATGCCACTTATGAACGGACGAGCCATCGACTGATGTCACGCTGCCTAGCTGCTGGCTCGCAGCCCATGCACACGGCTATACTCCAGGGCCTCCAGCATCAATAATTGCTTACCACATTTCATTCTTCATTCTACATGACCTACAGAAACTTCCTTTTGGGTCAAAATAGTGATAATTCGATTTCACAATTTATATCACTTTACCAACTGCTCGGCGGATGAGTTTAGGCCTATTCTTATACCGGTGTGCACCCATAGTGCTTCGCTCGTAGCCCCGCCCTGCAATCAGGGTCTAGGGGACAGGGCCGGGGCCGGGAAGGGCTGATGAGCTTCACATAATCTTGCAAATAAAAGACGGTCGGGATGCAGTGGCTTATTTTCGCACTGTCATTTTTTTTTGGGGGGGGGGGTCATCCCACCAGCTCTGGCAAAATGTTTTTCACCGAAATTATTTACAAATCATGCGAACCCCCCCCCCTCCCCCCCGTTCCGACACACAAATAAATTGTACTGGTAATATTTCGCGCCGCCTGTGCATAAAATACGGACAGAGGCAGCTTCGGGGTATTTGTACGCTTTCTAATAGTGTTAATAAGGCCCAAAAAAAAAGTCTCCGGTTTCTGGTATGCGCGCGCGTCGCCGTAGCCCTGCGCGTCGGCAAAATGAAAAAGTTTTTTTTTCAATAAAAGATGATGTCTCAAAACCGCCAAACTCACTGGTTTAACTGGAATTCTGCTGCAGCACAGTTTTAACGTGTTTTTAGATGGGGGTATGATCGAGAATAAGCTTTATGTGGACTCACTGGACTCCCGTACATTTTGCACTAAGTTTAGTCGGGCACCATTTGCAGTCATCAGCCGACATTTGAAGCAAAAAAGTCAGGTAAAAAAAAAAAAAAAGCCGCGTCGCCGCACCACTTTTTGGGCAAGCTCCATACCAGAAACCGGAGACTTTTTTTTTTTGGCCTAATCGTCGGTTTTTCAAAAACACTGTAACATCATTTTTAACACTGTAAATCAGGAGGGAGTAAACGCTGGTGAAAAAAGGGCATTTGAATGGAAAAGGGCAGTCTCTACAAAATATTGGGGGAGGGGTGTAAAAAAAAACCTCCGCTGGCTAATCCTATATCTAATCTTTGAGTCGGTCCGTCTGGGACCCGTTTCTACATACGCACATGCATGTTTCTACATTAGGCCAAAAAAAAAAAATTCGGTCTCTGGTCAGACCAAAGTTCCGGAATTGACGCGGCCACGCGGCTTTTTTTTTTTTTTTTTTTTGCTTTTTTTTTTTTTCTTCAAGCTTGGATTGTACATACAAGGTGGGTACTATCAAGGGCGGATCAAGAACACAATTTTAGGGGGGGCCAAAAAAAATTTGGACCCCCAAAAAAGTGGGTCAAAAAAATTAGGGCGTGGGGTTCGGGGCCCGTTTAAGGGCCCCGAAAATTTTTTTGGATTCTAGATGCTCTGTGGTGCGATCTGAGGCAATTTCTGACCACTTTGACCAATGTTTTTTTGAGGAAAAGATGGTGGTGTACTCATTGCCTGCCTTTATTGCGATGTTACATAAAAAAAAAAAAAAATGGTCTCGTTTTGGGGGGGGGCCATGGCCCCCTTTGGCCCCCCCCCCCTGGATCCGCCCTTGGGTACTATTTTGCTTTTTTGGTGTCCTCATGTACATTGGTGTCCTCCATAATTTGCCTTGGTGCTTTCGATCATTTGCCTTGGTGCAATTTCCCATTCCTTGGTGCTCTTTGGTAAAAAAAAAATTGAGGAGTTGCGGAAATAGAGGGCGCTGTTGGAGCTACCGCGGAACATTTTGGAAAAAAAAAAAAGATCGACGCGCATGCTTAAAATCGATTGGCCTTATCGCACATACGGTCGAGTTGTCTCAACGGTCGACTTGTCTGACCCCCATTTAAACGATGCCTCATGGGCACACACCCACTCCAAGACATTCGAACAGCGACCCCCGGAGTCAGGTAGCACCAAACCTCTTACCCCCAACCTTTTCCTCAGCTTGTTTAATAGATTTCAATTAACTGGTCGCCCCCCCCCCCCACCCCTCGCCCCCTCCCCACATAGACAACAAATTGCTGCATACGAAGAAAAGAGAACATGTCACATGCATGTTGTTTACAAAACACAAGGCGGAAGTTTTATTTTGAATGCTGAACAGCAAATGTTATGATAATAAAAAATGCAAAGACTTGCTAATAACATGAATAATAACAACAAAATCTTGTCAATGTGATTCTGATGGACTCACTGATTTATTTGAAAATCACTGAAAATAATTTCATTTGGTATTTCTCCTCATTTTTGTCAACTGTAACATTACACCGATTCTAAACTGTAAAATGAAATTTGGTTGTAACCACACGGGTATTAAAGGTACACAGCTTTGTGTGGATTGAGTTCTAATGTTTACTGTTGCATAGCTGCCAACTTTTCAAAATCCCAATTAGTAATCAACCCGCGCGGTCATTTTCAACTGCTCGTTTTATCAAAAGCTTTACCAACATCGAGTACAGGTACATGGTTTACATGTACACATACATGTGCATACCCTTCTTGTTGTGAATAAAAATGTATTGTAGGCCAAAAGATAATTTAAAAAAAAAAAAAATTTAAAAAAAAATTAATACTTTTTTTTTTTAATTAATTTTGTTTCAATGTCTGTATTTGTTTGTTGAAGTCAAATGAATAATAACAATAATAGCATGTGCGCATATTTTTTTTGAGATGCATGCTATCGATGTGGAGTTTCGAGTTCGTATCAATGTTTTTACACACAATGATTTAGGGCCACCGTATGCAATAGAAATATCCCGCCAACATACCTTGCAAACGCATGCTGATTTATCTTTTCTGGACGTTGTGACAAACTCAAACTCTATTACCAATTATTCCAACCTTACTCTTATTAAATTCCATGATTAAAATCTCGCATTGATGGGTCTCATCCCGGCAATAAGCGACCAAATGTGCTCACGATCGTCACTGAAAAGCACTCACATACAGTACACACAACCACACATCCACGAGATGCACACAAATGACACACCATTGAAAAATAGTTTTAGTCTGGTCCTCATGTACTCCACTGCGCACACTGCATTGATGTCTATCAGGTGCTTGACTGCATTCTTATTAGACTTGTCACCAGTCCATCCATTATCACGACATTTCGCCAGAAGTTTTCGGTCAAAAACGATACTTTACAAGTATTTTTTTTTTCGTTAGGTAGAAAATGGGAAATTCGTAATGTTTTAGTGGCAAATCGTATTTTCGTAATTTAACAAACAATTCGTAATAATTACGAAAAATTCGTAACAGTTGGCAGCTATGCTGTTGTTTCATCCCACACAATTAATGCAGCACAGAAGTAATCCACTATAATGTTTATGAGTGCAATGGTAAGAATAATTTCATGAGGTGACAGACGGAGTGGAACATCCAATCTGTCACCTAATGAAATTATTCTTTCCATTGCACGAACGTGAAACATTCATTATTTGTTTTATACAACACCTGAATAAATCCTCGTCATCTGATTGGTCAGTGCATGGAGCTAGGAGCATGTGTTCCTAGCTCCATGGTCAGAGCCACTAGTGTGACCGTGCAATAGAAGCTTTATATACCATGGAATAGAACTTCTATTTTTGCGATGCGGCCGGACCGTGGGTTGGGACGAATAATTCAAAGACATGTGATCAACGGCCCACCAATCAGATGACGGGGATTTATTCAGGATGTTGTATAAGAATAAATATCCCATAGTTTCTGAGGTGAATTTGTGTAATAGTCAACAGTGTGGTCGGGATACAATACCATGTACAGTCGAGTCTCGTTAATGCAAACTCGTTCGGACCTACCCAAATTGTTTGTTATGACCAGAACTTTGTATTAACAGAGTTTGTACTAACGAGAGTCGACTGTATTACTATTTCATGATTATGTGAGGAAGTACAACGAAAGAAAACAACTGCAGTTTTCCTAACATTCTTCCAAATTGCTGTAGTCGTCTCCACCACAAGTCCTCACAAGTCTCTGCAAGTCGACAACAAGTCCAGCACAAGTCCTTCAGTCCCAAGTCAAGTCACTAGCTACATATATTTAAATGAACTGAAACAAAAACATTCATTTTGTCATTGTTCATCCTTTACTTGTGACTGGACTTATGAAGGTACTTGTGATGGACTCGACTACAACACTACTCTTCAGTGCAGTACTCAGGATCTAAGCTCATACAAAACGCTCCTTAAAAAAGGTTCAATATTTACAGAAAATATCCCCATCAAAAATCTTAGACAGAGATTATGAAAAGTAATCATCATCATCTACATTGAATGTGCACATGGTACATGTATACCTATTTACTGGAGGAACGTTGATGCACCCCACTAAGGGGATGTTGCCAAGTTTTCGAACGAATTCCTTCAGCAGACATGCAGTCACAGATTAAAGAAAACCATTCCAAGCTTAACAAGACTCTGCACTCGTTTTCCATTCTTGATTGCAGAAAAGAGAAGTCAAAATTAGGGAGTCAGCCTTGATCAGTTGCATGCCTGCTACAGGGAGTGGATAATGTACAGAAAATGTTGTGAACGTCAGCAACTTTGGCACTGTTCGCATATGCGGAATGCCTCCAACATTCAAATGCACACTGGCAAAAACCCATTGGACTCATAGAGAATGCCCTTTCAGTTAACAGAAGCAATACATAGCACGGGGGCCCAATTTCACAGACCTACTTAGAAAATCCAATAAGCAGAGTTAACATTTGCTTAGAAGAAACAAACAAAAACAATCACCAGCCCAAATGACAGCCAATGTAACAACCATGCGGGGAAAGAATTTGATTCGCAAAAACCAGTCACTAGCTGAAACTGTCAGCCAATCTACTGGTAGATTCTTGTCAGATTTTTGCTTAGCTATTCGCTTAGCAGGAACTTATGCTAATCAGCTCAGTGAAATTGGGCCCAAATACTACGAGGTCCTAGGATGATGACGACAGTGCTGAATCTCCTCTGGTTGCCATGGCACCTGCCTGTCATTCTCTCATCTCGCCATCCTCCTCTTCCTCTTCGACGCCTCTCACGTACATCACGTTGTTACATCTGTCCACCGAAATAACAACAAAAGCGGGTCATCATAATAATAATTGTGCTTATATACACTTTCCATCCTATCAACGATGTCAAAGCGCTTTACAGTTATTACCCTGTTCATCAGGCCATGGGACCACACGGCAGCCGATATCAGCGCTCAATAGGTCCTCCACCCTCACAGGTACCCATTTATACTCCTTGGTGGAGAGAGGCATTTGTAGTTAAGTGTCTGGCCCAAGGGCACAAACACCATATTCCTGATACGGTTCAAACCCATGCACCTTCGTACATGAGTCAAACACCATAACCACTGGACCATGCATGGCATTCTACAATCATGATGTACATATCATTAAGGCCTGTGTACATGTACAGCGCACAGTAACATGCTGATTTCTAGGGCTGTGTCGAATGCATGTAGACCAAACATTCAAATATTTGATCGTCAACCAATTATCCAAATCGCCTATTTTTCTCGATTCATATACAGGGTGAGTAAAAAAAAAAAGGAAACCCAAATGGCAGGACCAATTTTTTTTATGAAGTTCAGCATGAAGCACTACCAAAATCTATGATATGAAAGCTTAAAGGGAAAATACAACATTTGCAAACATCGAAAAATAAAACTACCAAGTTGTTACGAAATACCTTACTAGGATGTTGGTAAATGACATGCTTAAGCATCGTGTAAAATTATGGCACCTGGTGTGAAGCCATTTTCAAGAAAATGGTATATTTGTCTACATTTCCAATGCTGGTCGGCCGACCACCGTTGGAAAAACCTAACTATTTTTCAATTACTGCACCAAATTTACCAATTTTTTTCAGTCTAAATGTTGTTTTGCTAGCTATTGGTTCCATGCTCATGAACGGGTGCAGGCCAGCTAGACTGGTTCCCTTACCTTACAATTTTCTGGTATGTTTGATCCATTTCATCTTTAGTGGAGTCAGGGAACCAGACTACTTGAATATTTTTGTTTTTCTTGGTTTTTCCAGCATTTTCGAACACAAAACTTCAAACATGTCAGTGTAACAATATTTGATCTATTATACTAACCCCCCAAATAGTTCATTTCTGAAAATTACAGCAAAAGCCAATGATGTACATTCCCTTTAATCAATGAGCTTTCTTTTAGTACAAGAATCATTCAAATCACTCATGTGCTTTTCAAGTTACGGATTTTTAAACACAACCACCATTTTAAAGTTATGTCCATGGATCACCAAAAAAGTGTTCTTTCAGCAAAACGAAAACAATTCACATAGGGATGTGATAAACCTCACCAGGTTTAAACAACCTTCTTTAACTTTTGAGCTGTTTTGTTCCTTCAAACGAAAAAAATTCACTTGTAAATGACAACTGATATACTCTGCCTTTAAACCTTGACAATCCCTGAGACAATGCACAGGCAAGCTAGCTTGCTTCGCTTACACTGTAGGCCTACTTGTACTTTGCTTATAGTGTGTTCGTACAGGTACATGTGCATTTTCTGAATATTCAAACAACTGTGGGTTTTTTTTTCAATACCGAAAAACAAAACTCACCTGATCAGAACTTCACCGAGGTTTCCCTGAAATACACTATCAATATACTCCTCTGTGTTTGCAAGCTGGGATAGAAACAAAAAGATACAAGAAACGTATTTCAACGTAAGTGAAGTGGATTTTGTTTACTTGAAAAGCACTATTCTGTCACATTTCTTTTCATCTTAAAAGGCAGTTGCACCTGGTATGCTGTCATTTTCAAGAAAAAAAGGGAATTTTTTAAAGTATTTTCCAACGATCACTACGCTGAGTGATCGTTGGAAAAATTGTCTTCAAATATAAACAGCGGTTCTCTTTATTACCCAAACTAGATGTATTTTCACAGGAAACTGTCCTCAATCCTCTAAAATTTCCCGTTGTAAAGGAAAACAATGGCAAATTAACTGTCCACAATCCTGCTAAACTAAATGGTGGGTTTGTGAAGGATCTCGGAGAGCTAAGGCCAGTTCATACTCAGCGTGTAAGCAAACGCAGACGGATTTTTTTTCTGCTGGGAATTGTTGAACATATTTCAGCTTCAGCCAATTTCGCAGCAATGTTTCGCATTTACATTTGTACATGTAACCCCCTTAAGGGTAAGGCCGAATAAAGAAAGAAGAAAAACAGACTAGTTTTTCATCAGATCTTTTGGAAACAGGAGGTTTTTTTATTTTTTTTATTTTTCATGTTTTTGTTTTTTTGCCAATGACAGATGCAGGATGGCGAATTCAAAACATCCACTGCTTTTCGTGCGATTTCTTTCCAAAACAGAGGATGTTTTTTTTCCTCAAAATTGCCAATACTTTTCTAAGACTTGCTTTTCAACCTCATGTTGGAAACAAACATTAAGACACAAGATGTTTCTGATGGTAAAAATTTTGGAAAATACGGCAGATTTTGCCGTTAACAAAGTGAAAAATAAAAAAAATTAAAATGATGCGGCAAGAAAAAAATGCGGGTGGGGACGAGAAATGGGTTGAGCTATTAAGACACCCTTTACACAGGGCTGTGACCTTTGGGCCTCCCTTGTGCGACCACGAAACTGGCCAGGTCGCCGTCGGAGGCTCAAAGGAGGCCGAATGGTTGCCTACATGTAAGTCGATCAAAGGTGGTACACAGGATGTTCAGACATTGCCATGGACGCCATGGTCACCGTAAATTTTTGAACATGTTCGAAACAGTCGCACAAAGGTAGCCGAGGAGGTTGGTAGCTCAAAGGTGGCTCAAATGAGGCAGAAGGGAGGCACAAGCATTGCCGTGGTTGCAGAATGGATGCACAATGGTAGGCTAATGGTCGCCACGTAATAGAATCATTCTGTTGCAAATTCAATCTGGGCGATGCTTCTGCCTCCCTTGTGCCTCCTTTGGCCGACCAATAGCGTACATTGAACGATGAATGTGGCGACCAGTGTGCCTCCATTCGGCGTTGGTTGCCGTAGGTTGCACAGGGGAGGCAGGCAAGTGGCTCAGTGGATGCACTGGTCGCTCGTAGCTCGACATGAAATTGCCCGAAAAAAATGCAGTTTTGTTGGTTCAAGGGAGTCACAAGGATCGCTGGAGCAGTTACATAGAAACAGGATTATCTGGGTTTAGGCGACCATTGAGCGTCCTGGCCATTTTTTTGGTTGCTCATAGGTGGTACAAAGGTCTCAGCCCTGTGTAAAGGGGGCCTAAGCGTCAACAAGCGCCAACAAGCATCAACAAGCGTCAACAAGCATAAACAAAGTGTCAACAAAGCATCAACAAGTTGAAAAAGCACTTTTAAACTTGAAAATTATGTTCACAATATTCAGCATGTTCAGTGAGCTCCTACGAGTATTTGAAACGTATCGCAATATTTCAAAGTATCTTAACATGTGCAATTTGTTAAGCGAAACAGTACGACATCAACGGTGCCATTTCCAGCGAAACTGGCCGTTATCTTGTTATTCTGGGACATGGTACAATCACGCATGCGCAAAAGAGAAAACAAAGATGACGGCGCCCAGTCACCATAATTTTCCCGCAATAAAATTTTGTTTTTATGTTGGATCGTGAACATGAATTTCCCCAATTTCTTACATAATACGATGTGAGAGTTTGCTGAATACGATGATAGCTTTTGTGAAGCTTAATCCCCTAAGGGTTCCTCGGAACTACCCTGCTAAATCCAACAGAGTCCAACAGTTACTTCCTGCTCAATCCAACAGAATCCAACTTTGCCTAATTTTTAGCTGTCTGCTGGATCCAACAGAGTCAAACTTGGCGTTATTTACCACTACCCAACAGAATCCAACTCTGAATATGTACATTTGCACAAGGGGTTTACTGCTCAATCCAACAGGCTCCAACGGGTATATGATATAGTTGGATCCTGTAAGATTCAGCAGGGTTAGGGTTAAAGGTGCATTTTGAGCTCGTTGAGCTTGTTGACGCTTGATCGTGCTTGTTGACGCTTTGTTAACGCTATAAAATAGGGTGACTGCTCTATGTTCCGACACCCCTATGTTCCGACAACCTAGATTGTGTTACTCCCGGTTAGGGTTAGGGTTAGGGTTAGGAATAGGAATATGTGCAGTCAGAACATAGGGGTGTCGGAACATAGAGGTGTAACCATAAAATAGCAGGACCGCAGAAATGACGGAGCAGAAAGTGGTCTGACCTGAAGGTTCATGTAGCCGTCCACAGAGACCAGGTAGCCTTTGTACTCCATACCCCACTTGAGTTTGACCATGACTGGCTTGCCCGTCAGCCCGTTGAGGAAGGGCTTGGGGTTGAGGGGTAATCCCATACTAGCCTGTGGTAAAAGAAATAATAATACACAATACTAAACAAATTTTAAAAGGAACTGAAATATAATAAGATGGAATTATTATAAGATGGAAATTTTTTGCGCCGGGGTGATACAAATCAAATATAGTCAATCAAATTCCTAATCGGCAAAAGGAATTTTTATAAGATGAATTTTTGCGCCAGGGTGATATAAATCAAATAAGCTTTTGCCCTTCACCGACGTTTAAACACTGTATACTCAGTGTGTTACCTCCCGAGTGAAAGTTGGAAAAAATCACTCGGTGGGACTCAAACCCACGACCTCCGGCTTTCTAGTGCAGATGTTTTACCACTCGACCACCGAGCTAATGGGATCAGCTGGCTGGTTCGAATCTGATGTACATAGCAGCGGGTACCGCATAAACTATTATAAGATGGAACTTTTTCCAACTTTCACTCGGGAGGTAACACACTGAGTATACAGTGTTTAAACGTCGGAAGAGGAATGTTGTTTTCATTTTGTTTGATTTTTTTCCCGCACATGATGCGGCCATAACACAGGTGCATCATGCGGGAAAAAAATCGCATTCGGGGATCTGCCTAAGAGCGCACCAATCAGAGCCTCGGCAGATCCCCAAATGCGATTTTATTTTTCCCCCCATATGATGCGGCCATAACACGGGTGTGGTGATTCTAGAAGTACACAACATGCACGCACGACTGCCGTGTTAAAACGTGTTTTTTTTCTAGAGAAGCCACCGTAATCTTCAATATTTCTCATATTTTAGTCACTTTTGTTCTGTTTCAAGTCGATCATTAGCTTTGTGAATGACTGCTGCATGGTATGAGGTATGTGTAATGGAATCTGGGTTGGGAAAATAATGGCAAAATGGCCATATGGACCATTTTTGTAATTCACTGGGGACATACGGTTGCGTAATTTCGGGACTCTTAGTTGTCATGGTTGTAGCTCTATAGCTCTAAATGCGATAAGCACTGGAGCTGGAGTTACTCAACATGCTCAAGCTAGAATTTAACCATCATGACCATACAGCCAACATTGCCTTGGCCAAAGAATAAAGATCCAGAAAAAAATGTTGCAACCTGATGCCACTTCACTCAGCGGTTGTGTACAAAGTCTATGGAGAGTCCAGAAAACTTTCTAAAAATAAAATTAAAAAAAAAGTAAAATCTAACTAAGACTGTATTTCCTAACCAAATTGGAAATATTTCTCAGTCCAAGATTCATGTCTTATCATCATTTTTGCAATGACTGACCTTCATCATGTTCATTGAGACGATATGTGAAGAAAAAAAGTGGCGTCAGGTTGCAACTTTTTTTTTATGTAGACCTAGACCCAAGTCGATTGGCTCGTACGTTGGACGCATGTGTGTACATGGCTTTCGATACGTGCGATTTTTGCACGTGCCCCATCCACGGCCACTACCGCCAATTTCGACCACAAAAAGGGGGTCTTAAACCAACTTAATTCCACAGTAATGCTCTAAATCCCATCTAGAAGATAGACAGAAAGCACAGTTGATATTAAAACACAATAACTTACCGACATTCTGGAGTAGTAAAGGTAAAAATCTCCCTCAGAAGTAAGTCAGAATCTTACACAAATCTACACGCTATCATTCACCGTACAGCACGTTTTGGTTCCGTTTGATCAAACTACAGAGGGCGCTGTTTACTTCATCACAAAGAATCGAAAATAAGCGAGTTGAAACTCGGTACTTCGCAATATGGGGGTGACTTGGTGAGTTTATTTGCTAAAAATTTACTTTTACAGTGAAATATTGTAGAATAGCTTCATAGTTATGTTTTTCGTGGGGGACAGCAAGATATATGGAAAGATTTCCCATATCTGGCCATCACTTGACACCCTGTGCAAAAACTGTTCGAAGTGGCTATCGTTACGGCAGTCGTTGTTTAGCGCCCTCTACGATACTTTTTTGATACGCTGGCAGGTATATAATTATTTGTTTCCACACGGTTTAACGAGCAGTGCGACAGCTCAGTCGATAGAAGGTAGGATTTTGCACCGCGAGGTTGCGGGTTCGAATCTCAGTTTTGCACTCGAATTTGTTTCCTTTTCTAACCTGAGGCTTTGGAGGATTTTTTTTAAAAGGGAAATAAAGTCCGAATTTCATAACGTTCAAATTCACTTTTTTCCTTCTAATTTTATATTTTCTTGTCATGTTTTTATCAAAGTTGCAGTCTACCGTAACGATAGAAAATGGGAAATGCGTTACGGCTGCCGTAACAATAGCCACTGCGAAAACTGTTTTCTCAGTCACTCTCAGTCTCAGTGGCCTACTTCAAATTATTTTCCCTGTGCTAGCATGGCTAGTGCTAAATAGTAAATTTGACTTTTTAGGACATATTTATTATCACTTGCTGATGGCTGATATAGTGATGGCCAGATATGGGAATCTGTCCAAATATGTGTACACAGTACCCACTACCAATAGCCATCAATCATGAACGGGAACAAATCACAAGGCCTAATCAGTATTCTATCTGTCATTCATTGTCATTTGTTTATCTATTTATTATTTTATTTATCATGATAATTTATTTATTTCTGGTGTAATGAAACCAAGGATTCCTCAAAAGCGCCCTAGGCACTGTAGCTCGCAAGCCTGAAGAAACCTGTAGAGAGGAGACAATGAGAAGAAATTATGTACTCTAGTTTTAGACATGTTAGACATGTTAGAGGTGGGAGGAAAACCCCAGAAGAATATTCTTGGGGGAAACCTGAGGAGAGGAGACAATGAGGAGAAATTACAGTTGTAGAGGTGGGAGGAAAACCTCAGAAGACTATTCTGTGGAAAACCCAAGGAATCAGGTTGGGACTGAAAACCCAATCCACATGTTGGCCCAGGCGGGATTCGAACCCGGGTCACAGCGGTGGAAGGCGAGGAAAGGACCGCTAAGCCAACCCTTAATATGCTTACATGTATATGACAGACAGAATACTGACTGAATACTCCTACTGCTAGTCTAGTCAGTGCAACATGAAGTGTATTGCCATTGTTAGAACATGGAGGAAAAAAATTGCCTCCTGTCTTAGAATGATGGGGAAGTCATTTTGCCTAAAACTAAATGTGAGCGTGACATGTCTTGTCTGTGTTTCTTTGTGAAACTCAACTTACAAACCATCATGGCAAGTATAAAACCTCCTATTAGGCCAAAAAAAAAAAAGTCTCCGGTTTCTGGTATGCGCGCACGTCGCCGTAGCCATGCGCATCGGCAAAAAGAAAAAGTTTTTTTTTTCAATGAAAGATGATGTCTCAAAACCGCCAAACTCACTGGTTTGACTGGAATCCTGCTGCTGCGCAATTTCAACGTGTTTTTGGATGGGGTTATGATCGAGAATAAGCTTTATGTGGCCTCTCTGGACTCCCATATATTTGCACTAAGTTTAGTCGGGCACCATTTGCAGTCATTGGCCGACATTTGAAGCAAAAAAATCAGGTTAAAAAAAAAAAAAAGCCGCGTTGCCGCACCACTTTTTGGGCAAGCTCCATACCAGAAACCGGAGACTTTTTTTGGGGGGCCTAAAACTAAATGTGAGTGTGACACGTCTTGACTGTGTTTCTATGTAAAACTCAACTTACAAACCATCATGGCAAGTATAAAACCTCCTAGCTTACTTGACTGACTGTAATCTACGATTGTCACAATGACACTGGCATGGTTTTGTTCCAGTGTTTGTCAGTGGCCGGTGACTGAGAGCAGGACAGTGCAGCAGACTGTCGAGATGCTGACACGGCGGATTGAGGTCCTGGGAGCAGTCAAGACCGGCAACTTCTGCGTGGACTGTGAGACGTACCAATCATCAGTTCCGACGATAAGTAAGAAAATGTACATCATATGTGTGATCCTTGGCCTCCTTTTTTTTTTTTTAATAACGCTTTATCATCAGTGAATTCCTTCCTTCCCATTTATTTTTCTGGAGCCCCTTATCGCCCATCCTCTTTCTTCAAAAGTTAGGTCTGAAGTACATGTAACAAGGGATGGCCAATTCCTACTTGCAAAGGAAAACCTCTGACATTGCAGTTCGTTGAAATACATGTAACTTGTTAATTTGGATAACTTGTGATGAAATGTGACGACTTGCGATCGACCTGTGATAGCAGGCCCTGACTCGTGTGGACTTGTGATAATTTGTGATGGCTTGAGATGGTGTGAGATGACTTGTGATGAATTTTGATGGATTTGAGATGAAGATGACTTGTGGTTGAATTGTCATTGACTTGTGATATCTTGTGATTGACTTGTGGTATTACATGTACTTGCATTCCATTTGTGAATGACCTGTCATGTCTTGTGATTGACTTGTGATAACTTGCATTTGATTTGTGAATGACTGAAGGAGACTATTTGGTGATGTCTTGTGATGACTTGTGATTAAATAAAGATCACTTAAAGGTAATATACATTGTACAACATTTGCTTTTTCTTTACTTTTCAGACATGGATGGATTTGGGGGCTAGTAGATTTCATAGCAAATATTGTTACACTGACCTGTTCAAACTTTTGTGTTCATACATATGTAGATGCTGTAAAAACCAATAACAAAGTGCTGTTCTTGTAGTCTGTTTTTCTGACCCAACTTCATACAAAAGGAGCAATTTATAGACGTCGGAGAACTGTCTAGGAATCAGACTACATTTGTAGCTGGCTTGCACCTGTTCACAGATGTGTAAACGATTGCAAACAAAACATGGACTAACCTTAATAAATTTGGTAAATTGGGGTTAGTATTTGAAAACAAAAATAAGTTTTTTCCGATGATGGTCGGCCGACCATCGTTTCTTGAAAATGACAGCATGCCAGGTGCCACGATTTCCCAGGATTCTTGAAACTATTATTCACTCACAGCCAAGTGAAGTATTTCATAGTAATTTGGTTGTTTTGTTTTTTGATGTTTGCAAATGCTGTAAATTACATGTACCTTTAAAGCAGTCCTTCTGTTTTGAGGCGTGCGATCACACCCCCACGCCATCACACGCCTAAAAGCTTCTGAGAAGTGCGAATAATCGCACACCTGAATCCCTCTGTGCTGCAGACCTCGGTATGCATTTACAGTATGATTATACTTCACAATTTGTGGAAATAAAGCATGTCAGAGAAAAAAAAAAAATATCAAACATTAGGCCTACCATATCAATATGATTTAAAGTATCAAGATTGGAAACCCAGAACTTGAATTATCACATTTTCAGTGTACCGTACCACTACCCAATATCTAAGGGGTCTCCTGCAAAAGTAATTCAGATTTAAGAAAGCTTGTAAAAGATTCCTACATGAATTATGATTTAGCTACCATACCATATAAAGTACACATAAAAACCTTAGAATAAAGACCCTTGGGTCTGTGGTCATGGTGGTGGACAGATTAATATAAAATTTGGTAGGATTGGGCAATAAACAAACCCTTTTAGTGAGCTCTTGACATGGCTTTACTGTAAACCTACATGTACATGTAGATGAATATTACAAAAACAATACCAGATGGTTCATTCCCAGCTTGGACCACAGAATGACACGCCTAGAAAAATCACACGCCTAGAAAAATCACATGCCTAGAAAAATCAAGGTGTGCCTTTTTCCACACACTTGTGATTTTTAAATCAGAAGGACTGTTTAAAGATGGCTTGTTTATGACTTATGATGGCTTATGGTTACCTGAATACAATGTTTCTTTTTCAGATTCCACCAAGTTGGTACACCTGATGCATAACAGCGAGCAGCCACTCACATGCTTCAGCATCACCGACACCGGGGCATTCCTTGTCGCCGACAACCACTTGGAGGGCATCATGCAGAAACTCAAGGGTGAGTCAGCTGGAACAGCGCTCCTTAGTGATGTCATTGTTTTTAATAGGAAACCAACAATTTAGCAGCATGTATACTAATATTGGATTCCATAACGTCGATAAGAAATATTTTTGAATAAAAAATATTGCAGCGACGTAGCTTTCGATGTCATCGCGACATCTTCATTCAGCGTAGTGAATTAAACCACTCCGGTCATGTGACCACTTTTTGGGCGACGAGCTGCCAGCCATCTACGATGACCTGCTGGCTTGTGATCGCCCAAAAGGTGGTCACATGACCGGAGTGGTTTAATTCACTACGCTGAATGAAGATGTCGCGATGACATCGAAAGCTACGTCGCTGCAATGTTCTTACCAACAATTTAGTTATTCAGGCACTCGCAATGATAAAGCTAATTTTAATAGTGCTTACAAGTTAACCCTAACCACCCCAACCGTTCAAAATCCAACTGCATGTTTTGTTGGAATCTGTTGGAGTGAGTACTGCACAAGTAAACTGATTATGCTTTACATGGGGTCAGGCATGCCACCATAATCAGAGTCCAACAGTTTGGGTGTGGAGTTTACCATTATGGGCAATTCCACGGTTACTCATGTTACAATTTTGATGTACTTTTGAGTTTCCTTGGGCTGTATTTACCTTACTGAAAAGGTTTAAAAACTGTTTTACTGACGTTACACTTTCGTAACGTGAGTAACCGATTTTCTGCGTCTTGTTTATCATACACACTACATTTTTCTGGATGTCACCTTTGGTGCTGAGGTAGGTCTAGGTCTACTCTATCTGCCATGGGGATAACAGTGATTAAACCTTTTCAGTAAGGTAATTACAGCCCCAGCAAACTCAAAAGTACATCAAAAATGTAACATGGGTAACCGTGGAATTGCCCTTATGGTGTTGGATTTTGCAAGAGTGAGGAATGTTCCTAGTAGATCACTCAAGGGGGTTAGAGGTAAGGAATGGTGGAAAATCTTTAAATTATGCACTTTAGGTTGTCCAGTCCACACTATTTAAACTCCCTCAGCAAATTTGCTAGAACCCTTTTTAAATCCTCCAAGCTCCACCACTGTGTAGTAAGGGCCAGTCTCAATTCTTATCCAGAATGAGTTGCGAACAAGTTGCGGGTAGAATCATTCACTTTGTCCGGAAGAAGCTCTGCATTTGTCCCGGACATGTTACAGGAAAATTTTCATTAAAACTTCACTCATCAATACTGAATACTCTATTGCGAGAAGATTGCAGGAAAGTTGTTCAGAATCTTGCAACTTTAATAGTACCCGATACAATGTCCGGATCTCCCCCACCGACTTACACCCTTACAAGAAACGTTGACCTGTTTTCTGTGATCGTCTTGGTTTTTTTCTTCTCAGGATTCTACACTCCCAGGAAATCAGCCCGGGTGGAGTCCAAGGGCCAGCGCTTTGAGCTGGGGGACTTTCTGGTCAAGGTTGGCATTGTGTCCATCGGCCCACACACCAAGGGCATTCTTGTTGAGGTACACCTTGCATCTTAGAAGTTGTTCTTGACCAGGTTTTAAATAAAACAATACCTTAGTCTAGGCAAGCCTCTAGAGTCTTTCAATGAGCGAGTCAGCCAGTCAGGCGCAAAGAGGAGTGTATAGGCCGTTGAGAGTATTTTTAGCTGCGGTATGGCAGCTCAACAAATTGTGTCTCTCCGTAAGTCCGTTAGTTAGTAACAAACGTCAACATTGTCTATTGCTCCTGCAAAGTTTGACCGATTTCAACCAAACTTTGTCAAAACTAGCTCAGCCCCAACATGTCACATGACCAAACTGGGGTCAAAACCTTATGTTTTTTACTCAAAACACTTAACTACTCCTGCCTGAAATTACATGGCACAATCATGTGACTCATGCATGAACACGAATTTGTTGGTGAGATCTGATTGAACTTGTTTATTGAACAATCAGTTGCAACTTTGTATGAAACTTTGTATTCTGTGTAAAATTCATCTGCATGCCAGAATTTGACATCAAATTTGGTTGGCAAATCATTTCGGTCTACAAAATCCTCACTGAGTAGAGTAGTGTAAGTGTTCCAGATGTCAGAGCTGTTAAAGAAAGTCATTCACAAGTGAAAGTCATTCATGAGTCAGAATCATAAGTCAGTCACAAGTCAAGTCACAAGACAGTAACAGGATGAACTATGACAAAGGAATGTCTTTTAAAAAGTATAGTTCATTTGAATCGCTTGTGACATACATGTAACTCAAGGCAGGATGACTTGTGATTGACTTGTGATTGGCTTGTGATGACTTGTGACCGACAAGCTTACAACTCTTTCGAAGTTGCAGGTTCGAATCCAGCTCCACTTAATTTCTTTGCCAGGAACATATTGCCATTTCCCAATTGTGGATTAATTAATTGATGATGAACAACCAGTATCTGTGTTATGTATCCTTAGGTGGAGTACACGCCATGCATCATTGTATCCGACTGCTGGAACCTCCTGAGCGAGTTCATGCAGAGTTTCATGGGCAACCAGTTGCCCAGCATGCCCACGACTCTCCTGGCCAAGCAGGACCTGCCAGTCACTCCCGTCGACACCATGATGCAGTATCTAGAGCACTTCAATAACTTCAAGAAGGGGCCTGGAGGGAGGTGAAGGGAGCCGGCTCTCGACTCATCATCCTCAGACTATCAAACCCTGCACCCTCTAAGCTGCTTGGGATTCATCCCGAGTCCTCCCAAAGCATGCAGGAACAGCGACTTTTCATTTCCCAGCTACCAAGAGTTCAAGACCCATGTAAAGCTACGGAGAGACAATGCACGAACTTTAGATACTGCTTCCCGACCATTTGTTGTGAGATTTTCGTTGGACGGACACAGTCAATGGGCACACTGGTTTGTTTGCCTATGGAAGTACTACAACCAGTGGTGTAAAACTCGCACTGGTACTGTTTTTTTGTTTGGTATTCGTACATGTACTCGCACTCGCAAGAAAATATTACTTGTACTTGTACTCGTACTCGTGACAAAGTACTTGTACTCTTGCAAATGTTCTCCCGCAAGAATTGTAAAAATATTAAGAGCTACATGCAGGACAAGAACCAGTTTTCAACTGTTTGGGAGGCCTAGGCTTCTGCCTAGTCTGACAACAAAAAGCTCTTGAAAACATGCGACACTTTGAACTGTGCTCCTACTTGTGGAAAGGAATTGTACTTGTACTTTAACTTGTACTCATGGCTATGTACTTGAAGTACTGGAAATGTACTTGAGTACTACATCTGCCTACAATACAATTTTATTGTAATTGTGCACAAACTGTATACAGTCAAGTCTCGTTAATACAAACTCGTTCGGACCTAGCCAAATTGTTTGTTATATCAGAATTTTGTATTAAGAGGAACATCAGTCCCATTCATTGTGCACATAAATGCACAGTCGGGACTAAGGCTTTATGTTTGTTATAACCAGTATTTTGTATTAACAGAGTTTGTACTAACGAGATTCGACTGTATAGCGTAAGTCATTCGTAATTCTTTTTTTGTAAACGAGTGAGGGGAGTAATTGTGCGTCCAGTTCAAAGTGGTTGTGCTCTACACGTGTACCTTCTTCAATCCTTCAAAATTATCTCAAACATCCTAGTGGGTTTAGAAGGATCTTGGAGTGTCGAGTTACACTGGGTACTGGTGCCGTGTACCTGTAGCTCGGAGGTCCAGTATTTGGAACTTGTTCACAGCATTGTAGCTGGACGTGATTGAGAAACGCTGGTTCCCATCATCTCAGAGTTGGAACCATTATTGGTTGTGGACTGTGTGTTGGTATTTGGCTGAAATTCAGCTGTCACTGCCAAATATGGAATGCCTCAATAGTTTCTTGCAGCACTTTAGAGTACATTAATGCTCCCTCTCTGTGACAACATGTAGAGCAGGGGTGTGAAATCTCAGCTTTAAAGCTGATTTCAGCTTTTTTTTGGTTTTGGATTTCAGCTGTTTTCAGCTTTTTCCCTCACTTGCTGTGTAGAAAAAGTAGAAAAAGTGTAAGAGATCTCCGAAATTCAGCCTTTTTACACCTTTTTCAGCTATTTTTATCAGTGGTCACTCACACCCCTGTAGAGAGAGATACCCTATCCATCAAAACCCATCAGGTGACAGGCTTAAACAGTTCTGTAAATTGGGCTCGTATTAGTACAAGTGACAGGCTGTGGTAGTTTTGTTAACTGAGGGTACCATGCCTTGACTGACATTGATAGATATGGTGGGTCAGCGCTGGTGAGTGCCTGTCAATGATGGATTCAGTTCAGTAACAATGAAGGCACAAAAGGTTCACTCATGCAAATCCCAGTAAAACAAAGGCAATGCCCCCTAAGATGGCTGCTACGCAAGCTGTAGCAGTATTCAAGGTGACCCTGTCTATCAAACCCCTTCAACAGGTTTTGACAGTTATGTGGTTTAATCCATGGGGGTTCTGGCAGTGTTGGTGACCAGCCTGTACATATCGTCACCGACACCACTAAGTACAAAAATGTAACACTCCACGTGTTAAAGCAATTTTTTTTTTTTGATTTTCAGTTTTTTACATTTTTGAACGTTATTTATCAAGGCCTACCATTGCACAAAGTTTCAAACCTTAAAGAGCTTTACTTTAATAATTACGCTAATTATCCATGGCAACTTTAGCACAAAAGTGAAAATTTTCATTTTCACGAAGTAACACTCAAGTTCTATTTACCATTGCAATGCATGGTGCGCACTCTGCTTAAGTGTGAGCAACAACGTTTTCACGAAGCAACACTCTCCTCGTATGAGCGCGCACGCACTGACCTGAAGTTGCACTTTCCTCGTGCTCCTCCAAACTTCTAAATTACTACATGCATGTACATGTACAGTATTAAAATGTATATTGTAATATTGAAATAGGAAGAATAATAAACTGATCTGTAACATTTTGCAACGAATAGCATTTCTCCGTTCTTTTCAGTAGTTTAGTCCAAAAGTCCTGAAACTGGCATTCGGCAAAACTGGCAGTTTTCTATTGGACCCGTGACAAGGTTGAAGCCAGTATTGATCGTGTCCTTAAATTGACCCAAAAAAAATAAATTGGAAAATTTGATCTCATGGTTCAGAAAACAGGTTTATTTCTGTTTATACACGACTTAAATCCGAGTCTTCAAAACTTCTTTGCTGAACAAGACGTTCATGTCCTTATATTCCAACATTTGATACCAGACCAGTCGGGGTAAAGTCTGCAACCTCGAATCCGGAGATACAATGTACCAATCCTGTAAGAATTCTTGATATAAACCCCAACTGCCCTGAATCCTTCAAAATCCTTTTTGCCAAAGCTGAGGAATTTGGAGGATTGAGGTTACATGGGCAAAAGTGCGTTACTGCATGATTTCGTAGGATGCACTTTGTCAAGGTCTTGGGCCGGACCTTGTGTTGTTTTTGCTCAGCCATGTATAAATACAGTCAAACCCTGAGAAGAACATTGTTAATACAAGGTACTGCTTATAACAAGCAAAATTTTAGGTCCCAAGTGTTTGTTTTCCGTTACTGTTAATACAAGGTACCTGTTATAACAAGGTAATTCATAAAATCCCAAGGAACTTGTTAATAAGCTATTCGACTGCATAGGCATGTATTATGCTTGAAATCCTCTGTACTGCTTCAGGATGTCACTGACCAAGCCTCAACATTATCGACAGTCACTGCTGCAGGATTTTGCAGGATTCAGGCAGTGGTCACCCCTCCACGGACCATATTTAAGAAATAATGGAGGAATTTGCAGGATTGAGGCTATGCTTTTTTCCATGAGGCCAATTGGAGGATATTGCAGTATTGAGGCTACATCCTAGCAAAAAGGCCACAGGAGTTAGGGTTAAAGCTTAGTATTCATCAAGTAAATGACACACTACGGGATTGGTAAGTTCCTGCATAGATTTTATTGTTCAAAACACAAATAAATACAACTGTATCCATCAAATCAACCTGATGGCACCCACCTTCCTGAATAAGCCACCCCACCCCACCCCACCCCACCCCACCACCCCCCCCCCCAAAAAAAAAGTAGAATAATTGTACAATCAACATTTCCTTGCTTACTTTCCTGTTCAAGAATGCATGCCTCCGACTCTAAATAACAATCCAAACTGATACTTTTCTGAGGTCAATTCACGAAGCCATTTTCGAAATTTTGACTTTGTCTCCCGTTCGCCTTCATCTCTACCTCCAAAATCATTTTCGAAGCTTTTAAAATAGAAACGCAAACAAATGCTCTACATCTAAACTTTGGACTTGGGTTATAAAGGTTTGATGCTCCTGAACAAAATGTATACATGGACCTATATTGAGCTGGAGCCTTCAAAGTCATCAGGGGTTGAAAAATCTCCCGAAGCTACTGCTGGGGTGTAGCCGAGGTTTGTAAAATGCAGCAAAAGTCTCCATACTGCCATGTGCTCTGAAGAGGGTCCCCCACTGGTCTGCTATGGTTCAGTTATTAGCGTTGATAGACTGGATGAGCCCTGCGACTGATTCTGATGCATATTTCTCGTATAAAGCTGGGGCTTGATTCTGGTGGCCAACACTGGCCGTGGAGCTGCAAATACAGAGAGATGTAAACAACAAAGCATTATAAAAAAATTAACTTGGAAGTAGATTTGGTATAGGGCTGTTCCGAATATTCGATCAACTGAATATTTGAACAGCTTTTTGCCAGTTTGAATATTCGAAAAGGAAAAATTATGCATGTGGACACAATCTTCCTCACTCCTGCAAATTCCAACACCATATGCAGAGTTGTAACGAGTCACTGATTTTTGTGACTCGAGTCGAGTTCAGTCATTTTAAAGAAGTGACTCGAGTCAAGTCGAGTCATTTTAAAGAAGTGACTCGAGTCGAGTCGAGTCGAGTCGAGTCAAATATTTAGCTTGAGTCAATTCGAGTCACGAATATTTTAACACTTTTTACCAAAATATATAAAAGGAGGGCATAAATTTAGCCGGCGTTCGAATCCAAGAGGCTTTATAAGAAATCGCCCAAAGCCAATGATGAAACAACGAATTGGAAAATGTGTTTAAAATCCGGTTCTTGAATAGTATTTTGTGCGTTCCAGGACCATAAGGTGGTAGTCTGTGACACGTTGTATGTTTGTAAATAAACATAAAATTCGCAGCGTAAGTCATTGCAAATACTTTTCGCAAAATTTTGCTTTTATTTTTGGGACTCGAGTCTTATTAGCATTCGCTCGAGTCGAGTTGAGTCTTTTGATGAGGGACTCGAGTCGAGTCGAGTCATTTGCTTGCAGTGACTCGAGTCAAGTCGAGTCATTTACCCATGGGAACTCGAGTCGAGTCACCAAAAATGTTGACTCGAGTCGGACTTGAGTCGGGTCATTGACTCGAGTCATTACAACTCTGACCATATGGTAACTCTACAACAAAACTGTCTGTTGGACTCTGATTGTGGTGGTATGCCAAACTGAGACCTGGAGTGCTCTGAAACGTGCACAACTAAATCAGGCCAACTTTACTCGCTCTTTAGCCAGCAAATTTCTCCAAAATTTTCATTGGGCAAAGAAAAGGTACTCAGTATTTCATCAATCATATTTGCAGACTCAATTCCATTTTCAAAAGGAGACATTTCTTAAATATTTGGCACATGAGATGGAAGTCAAGTGATTTCAAAATGGGGCTATAGACTAGACTGGTACATGTCCAACCATGGTCCAACTGTTTGAAAAGATTGACCTTTTCACTCAGTGTCATTAGTCTGGTGGCTGACTATAAACAGGCATGCAACTTGGAAATTAGAAGGAAAAAAACGAGGAAACTCCAAACCAAACAAGACCTTGTACATTATTTTTTAATTTGTAATGACATTCACGAGAAGTAAAAAACGAGGAAATCAGCGGATCCGAGGAAAAGCTGCATGCCTGTATAAAGAAATGTGCAGTAATTAGAGACTAGTTCCCGGTTCATGCCACGTTTCTTATATTTGACACACTTGATTGAAGCAGTATTAAAATAGTGTTGGACTGGTTGTTTCAGGTGCCAGTCTATATTCTGGTACTGCATGTGTTCAATACATGTACCTTACGTTTTGGGACTCTCATACACAGTATTGAGAGTGGTATGCCTGACCTCATGTAAAGCATAATCAGTTTATTCGTTCAGTACTCACTCCAACAGAATCAAACAAAACATGCAGTTGGATTTTGAAGAGTTGTGAAAGAGCAAACATTTATTTTCATTACCTGTCCATCCATTGTATCATGCCAATGGGACTGCCGGCCCGACAACATCTATGTCAGCAAACTCTCTCGCTAGCCATACACCAACACCAAAGAGGACTGCGTTCTTTATGAATTGCCTGCCAAAAAAGAAGAAAAAAAGCATGCGAGTGACTAATTGTCTAAAATCATACTATAGTTTAATATCAGTCATGTCACTGTATAATTAGCATGCAGGTGCCGGCTTAATTAATTTTAAACAGTAAATGGTATTTGCTCTGCACTGATCATGCGCAGTGACTTTTCTTGAGGACTTCTTAGTCTGGTTCTATGCCAACATTGTCCCAAATTTTCGGACTAGGGACGGTTCCCCAGCCCCCCCCCCCCCCCCTCCCATGCCTGGCATTATGCAATCAAATCATGCCCATAAATTAAAAACACATAGGCCTAGCATAGAGCCTACTTAGCGCCCTTTAAAAAAGTAAACTGTATAACCATGAGATCCAATTTGGCACTACCTTTTGAAGGGATTCGTGTACAAATCTGTGGTGAACCACGCAGACTTCTCAAGAAGAGACTTCAGTTCGGCCATGTTGCTTCAGTGTACTGCTAGCATGCATGGTGGCGCTATTCAAGTTACGTTTCATGCATGCACGCAACACGTGCGTTTTATTAATTGGATTAGTCTTGATTCAAGCCCACCTGGCCTGATGTCAATTGATCTGTCGGATATTCTTCGGCATGTCAAAAAAGGGTAAACTTGGAGGACGATGTATGGAAGACCAAGTGTGGACATTATTGCTTACATTTTCTGCAATCAGAGTATCAGAAAGGCATTCGTTTCTCAATGATCCATTAGTTCTGCTACCAGACACAAGGACGGCGTAGGCCTATTAACTTTTGATGTCGACTTTTCTAGGGTTGACTTTTCAAGTGCTTCTAAGTTCTAGTACCTGAAAAACAGGTTTTACTTTTCCCTTCTTTAGCAGTTGCGGACGAAAAATGGACATCTGCTTCTTATGAGTCAAGTGGCTCAGATCCAATTGTTAACAAGATAGCGACCGACTGCATGGTCCAAAGCATCAAACTTCAAACTGATTTTTATAGCCCTAGAAGATGAGGGTATATTAACACCTGAAATTCTTTTGGGAGGGGTGATGCCTATAATTTGCATAGCTGCCGTGTAATTATTCCTATATTTTGAAAAATTTTGGGTTTTTTTTACATGTTGAAAAAATGATCTATTATGGGGATTCTACTTACAGCACACTTACTTAAAGGGAATGTACGTCATTGGCTTTTGCTGTAATTTTCAGAAATGAACTATTCGTGTGGTTAGTATAATATATCAAATATTGTTACACTGCCATGTTTCAGATTTGTATTCGAAAATGCTGAAAAAAACAAGCAAAATTAAAATGTTCAAGTAGTCTGGTTCCCTGACTCCACTAAAGATGAGATTGATCAATTTATCGATGCTGGATAACCGTAATGTAAGGGAACCAGTCTAGCTGGCCTGCACCTGTTCATGAACATGTAACCAATAGCAAACAAAACTTAGACTGAAAAAAGATGGTAAATTTGCAGCAGTAGTTAAAAAATAGTTAGGTTTTTCCAACGGTGGTCGGCCGACCACCGTTGGAAATTTATCACTTTTCTTGAAAATGACTTCACACCAGGTGCCATAATTTTACAGGAATCTTTAGACTTTTATTTACCAACATCCTAGTAAGGTATTTCGTAAAAATTTGGTAGTTTTGTTTTTCGATGTTTGCAAATGTTGTATATTCCCTTTAAATAACATTTTATGAAGCATATATAAGTGACTGAATATGATGACATTATAAAAGATTAAAAATTGCCATTATACCCTAAAGTTGCACGCATTTATCGTTTTCCCAGAGTATGATCAGGCCTTCAGTTGCCAACTGTGACCTATCAATAGGCCTATATTATGCATGTTGGCCGGGTGAAAAAGAAAAAAGATGATTCCTGCTTTTATGAAATGACTTACAGGTGGCCACTTTTCGGCCCTGAGGAAACTCTGCTTTTTAGGTTGCCAAAAAGCCGGGGCAGGTTTTCATGTGCAACCTATAGTACACGGCGAAAACAGGCCCTTTTCGCATCTATCGCCGCCATATTCGACGGAGTATACCTTAGTTCTTACTATAGTATGACCCTAACAATATATTCTTTCAGAAAATGAAAGAAAAACTGAATAAAACACTGATTTTCCCTCGCCCATATTATGTTGAACACTGCATTTTTAGTCAAAAATCTCCCAGTTTCGGCGGCGGGCGGGAAAGGTCCAAAACGTTCGATATGATTTCCTGCTATACGAATATTAACAGGGCATTATAGTGGTCGGAATCATGACCGTCTGGTCAAAGCACCGGAACATTTTAAGAAGGTGTAAGGGGCGACGACACCTGAAATTCTTTTGAAAAGGGCGCCTAATTTACATGAGTCGTTAAAAGCCTACGTGAAATAATATTCCCATACGCACATTTCCTTTTTGTTAAAGTATTGGGGATTACATATCCTTGCTTCAACAACTTTTTCAATAAGGCCATACCTCATTATTGATGAACTTAAACTTACTTATTGGTACACTTGTTACCTTAATGAAACTACATGAAAAAAGTCACGTGACAATGATAACATCACTAGTAGTTAGTCCACATATAATTGGCTATTAATATTAGGCGAAGGGTTGCGAGTGCAAAGAAATCCACCAAAAGATTATAATGGTTGTTGATAATAATTTTGCCTGCGTCAAAATGTTTTACACGTAACTTGGGATATCTTTGAACCTGTTCAAGTCCCCCACGTCATAATTACAGTCAACCCTTCGTTTTAGCCCAATGCGGATGCTTCCTTTTCCCCCTTTTTTGTTTTCTGGACTACTATGACTTTGTCAACTTGAAAGTTGTTTATAATAATTTTGCCTGCGTCAAAATGGTTTTACACGTAACTGGGGATAGCTCGGAACAGTGTTCAAGCCCCGTCATCCCTTCGCCTAATTTTAGCCCAATACGGACGCTTCCTTTTTTACCTTTTTGTTTTCTGGACCATTAGAGAGACACTCTTGGAAAAAATGGTCCGGTTTAACGTGGTTAACTTATTCCTCATGATGGGACTTGCGGTTTGGCCGAAATCAATTGAGCGTGATCGGCTGACTGATAAGGTTTACGCACAAAACCCCGAGCCAACGAGGTTTTTGTATAGAAAGCTGCCGAACCACTTTTTGCGAGAGTGTGTCCGTACTGATTGCGCCCGCTGTCGGTCTTATTGCGCCACTTCTGATATATCTTCTGTCTAGCCCCCCCCCCCCCCCCCCCCAGCCACCCCCGCCACCACACCAAAAATATTAAAGTAATTAAATACTGTTTAAAAATGTGCTCGTTTATTCAGAAATTCATGAAGCATATTCAAACTGATTGGATGTTTCCAAAGTGTCTTTCCCATTTGCAAAAGTTCTTTTTAAAAGCCCATCTGCCGGGTTGAAACCTGCCGGTATGCCGCTAATGCTGAGCCTGCATACTACCAAAGTTACCAATGGCATCCCTACATTTTCTCGTACAAATAGGACCCATTTTTGGACCCTAATTTTATCAAATCTGCTCTTAGATAATAGCCCAAAAGCTAGGGAGATGATCCTCGGCTATTTTCGCACGATTCCACCGATTTTTAAACTAGACGGTCTCGTTTTTTTACAAAAAAAATGTGGGGGGCACTTTTTATGCAAATTAACGACTCGCGTAGAAATTTTTGAAACCCTTATCAAAATTATTGCGCCCGCTGTCGGTTTTATTGCGCCACTTCTGATATATCTTCTGTCTAGCCCCGCCCCCCCCCACCACCACATCAAAAAATAATAGTAATTAAATACTGTTTAAAAATGTGCTCGTTTATTCAGAAATTCATGAAGCATATTCAAACTGATCGGATGTTTCCAAAGTGTCTTTCCCATTTGCAAAAGTTCTTTTTAAAAGCCCATGGGGGCATGCAAATTGTGATTTGGGCGGCGTATGCAAATTAGGGTCTTTTTATTGGACAATCTTAAAAGGTAGAACCCAGGAGCCTAGGAGATTTTTTTTATTTCCGTTTAAGAGTAAGATTTCCCTTACAAAAACACCTAATTATTTTATATTCCCTGACGTGCCTTTATGTGCGCACCCCGCCCCAATCACCCATAAATAATAAAACGCTGGGTTTTGTTACTTTTGTAGTAGCTTGACCTCCCCCGCCAACAACTAAAACAAAATAGGCAAAATACTGACAACCTTCCAAGGATATCAAGTGTCTCACATCTTTCAAGTTTTATTTATTTTGTTTAATTCCTTAGTCTTATTGACATACAAATATTTAAACCAATTCATACAAACAAATACAAAAGATTACAAATGAGGAAAAAAGTTGGGCAGAAGGCCAATAAATTTGAGAAATTAACAATCCTTTATATCGTAGATGATTATTACATAAGCAACGACTACATGACTGTACACGGTAAAGCCAGGTTTTTGCATTTCGCCATTTTGTGAATAAGATTTTTAAAAGGGAAGATAAAACTTGGGAATGCCCCCCCCCCCGCCAAAAAAAATTCCTAGATTATTTCTAAACATTTCAGGACTATATTTTATCTAATTTAGCTATTCTGTGAAAACAAAACATTTGATGCGAGGCAAGTTTAACACTCGATATATATTGCGTTTATCCTTTTGTGAGGTTAGTTATTTAGTTATTAATAAGAAAATGAAAAGACATGCAAAACCACCAAGAAAAACAATTGTGCATACGAAGTAACCACCAATTAGAAAAACAATTGTGCATACGAAGTAAAAAAAAATAACAAGTAAAAAAAGTGCAATGAAATAAATCACAAAAGGACAAACACAAATGTAATTTGAGTGTCACTTATACCTGTTGCAATGCATTTTGATGGATAGAAGTTCCTGAACAGTTTATTCTTTAAATGTTCCTAAAAATTAAACGTTCTTGTGTTTTCTAATAAATATACAATGGAAAGAAAGTCACGCTTTAGTTAAACCGACGTCTTGTTAAAGACGTTAAATTGAAATAAAGTTTGTTACATTTCTTCATTTTAAACAATAAATTAATCCTTTTTGAAATCTTTAAAAACTCTTATGACTTAAATTGGTTTTCTTAAAAATGTACTTTCAATATAAAATTAAATTTATAGAGCAAAATTCTCCATTGTCAACTAAACAAAAAGCAAATAGAAAGCCTTAGGCGAGACCTTCCAAATCGGACTCACATAAATGATGTAGATTAAGTTTAAACCTTTACAAAAACACGAAGAAATGTCGCATGCGATAGTAAATATGTCGCATGTCTTATACAGCCATTTTCCTTATCGCTTTGTTGATTTTACTTAAGTTGTACCCTTTCACATGCATAACCTGGCTATTTCTGGCCTTTTTGAAGGCAAACTTCTTGACAATGTCACAAATTGCAGTTATTTTCGCTGACGAATAATACTTAAAAGATGTGGTGTAGGCCTATAACTTGGGGGAATGCCTTTAACATGCTGCTTTAATTGAAATTCAGTCATTTTCTTTACATCGATATAATGGAGTTCTTCCTTAATTTTTTTACCTTTTTTTCTGCCGGCATTTTCTCCACCGTTTACCAAAATTCGCTTTCCGGCGACTTTTTAAAGCAGTGTACCGTACCGGAAGTGGCTGCCGATTATAATTTGAAATTTTTTATTGACATTATTTCGGTCATTTTTCCTTAGCAAATTTTTGCATGGCATAGGGCCTATAGAAGTTTAGAAAATTACCGATTTTCAAAAATTTATTTCTTTCGCTGCCGCTGTTAATCTTTTTACCGTAATTTTCGTCTCTTTAATTTCGTTCTTCCGCAATCGATTTTTTTTTTACTTTGTAGGTAAGAAAAATAACACTGATATCAAGTATTATTTCTATCACTAACGCTGTTATTTTTGAGCCGGTGAACTATGTTTCGTCACTTCACTTATATGCCGCGTTGATTTTCGGTGTAATTTTCGTAATTTTCCTGTAGCTACCTGTAGAAACAGAGTGCCGTGCTGCGAGAAGAAACTCCACGTACTATGTGATTTTCGTTGTAATTTAATTTGGACCGATTTGATTTTTGTTTCCACGTTTCGTCACACGCGTTTAGTCAAATATTTCGGAGGAATTTAAAGAGGAAATCAAGCATCGTAAGAGGTGATATAGTATTAACCTAAAGGGGCCGGGGGGGGGGGGAAATCAGCCCCCTCGGCTTTTTCCGCAATAGCCTTTAAACATTTTTTTTCGCAACCTGAGCTTTAATGACTTTTAAGCCTCGAGCCTTGCGCATCTTTTGACACCAAAAACATACAAATCGGACGAGGGGTTGTCGCGCAGCGAAAATTTATCCGGCGCTACGCGCCGTGAAAACTGAATTTTCACATTATACGTCGTGTACACAGAGCAGAATTGCCATTCATACATATGAATAATTAATTAGTCGTAATTCCAAAACCCTTTGACCTTTATTCATGAAATTTCTTGGGTATGTTTATGAAGAGTTGTTCTATGCATGAACCGAGTTTCAAATTTTTTCGTCACTCGATGGCCGAGTTCTTGGGGGGGGGGGCTGAATCCGTTACAGGAATAACAAATTTAAGTGTAGGCCTACATATCCCTGGTCTCTTTTCAAGTAAAAATACCTCAAGAATCGGTAATGGCCAACCAAGAGGCACAGTCAGTCAACCGTCGGTCCTCCCAGCTTATGGCAGGTTGAGGCAGGCTCATCCATCATAGGGCAATTCCCTCACCAGTCAGTGGTCCTCATGTCTGTAAAAAGATTCAAATGACGAAAGAAAATATCCGAATTATTGTTAAATATCTGAAAGGTAGAGCAAGAGGGCGGGGGGGGGGGGAGAAATGTTCGAATTAACCCCACAAAGCAGTGCCCAACTACCAGCACTCTATATTTGTGGGAGATATAGAAGAGCACCAGATCACCCATTTTGATTACTTGTTTCTTCTTATTCTTTTAGGTACATGTAACTAAAAACTAACCTCAAGAATCAGTAATGGGAAGCCCAGCAAGCAGGACATCCGTTCATCTGTCGGTCCTCCTCCCTGCTTCCGGTTCCTCGGGTTTCTGTTTGATGAGGCTGTCGAAGCCCTGATGATGTCTTGAGGCAGGCTCATCCTCATCTCAGTAGAGCAATTCCCTCATCAGTCAGTGGCCCTCATATTGCTGAAAGGATTCAAATAACGAAAGGAAACATTTGAATTATTGAGCCGTATTCGTGCCACGGCTCGAAAGGGGAAAGAAAACATTGAATTAACCCCACCAAGCAAAGCCCCGCTAACAGAACTTGTTGTTTGTGGACGAACATAGAAGAGCGCCAGATCGCGCAGTTTGATTAGTTCTTGATTGTTTCTGTTTAAGTAGGCTACATGTATACACAAACCCCACAATTAACCCCACAATTAACCCCACAAAGCAGTGCCCAACTACCAGCACTCTATATTTGTGGGAGATATAGAAGAGCACCAGATCACCCATTTTGATTACTTGTTTCTTCTTATTCTTTTAGGTACATGTAACTAAAAACTAACCTCAAGAATCAGTAATGGGAAGCCCAGCAAGCAGGTCATCCGTTCATCTGTCGGTCCTCCTCCCTGCTTCCGGTTCCTCGAGTTTCTAAGTGATAAGGCTGTTGGAGCCCTGACGATGTCTTGAGGCAGGCTCATCAATCTCAGTAAAGCAATTCCCTCATCAGTCAGTGGTCCTCATTTTTCTGATAGGGAAACGAAAGAAAACATTTGAATTATTGAGCTGTATTCGTGCCAGGGCTAGAAAGGGGAAAGAAAACATTGAATTAACCCCACAAAGCAAAGCCCGCTACCAGAACTCGTTGTTTGTGGAAGAACATTATAACAGAGTCAGATCGCCCATTTTGATGAGTTCTGTGACTTGATTGATCCTGCGAAGAGGAGGCCAACATGTAAACTAACCTCAAGAATCAGTAATGGGTAGCCCAGCAAGCAGGTCATCCGTTCATCTGTCGGTCCTCCTCCCTGCTTCCGGTCCCTCGGGTTTCTGTTTGATGAGGCTGTCGAAGCCCTGACAATGTCTTGAGGCAGGCTCATCCTCATCTCAGTAGAGCAATTCCCTCATCAGTCAGTGGTCCTCACTTTGCTGAAAGGATTCAAATAACGAAAGGAAACATTTGAATTATTGAGCTGTATTCGTGCCACGGCTCGAAAGGGGAAAGAAAACATTGAATTAACCCCACCAAGCAAAGCCCCGCTAACAGAACTCGTTGTTTGTGGACGAACATAGAAGAGCGCCAGATCGCCCATTTTGATTAGTTCTTGATTGTTTCTGTTTAAGTAGGCTACATGTACACAAACCTGATAGTCAGTAATGGGAAGCCAAGCAAGCAGGTCATCTGTTCATCTGTCGGTCCTCCTCCCTGCTTCCGGTTCCTCGAGTTTCTAAGTGATAAGGCTGTTGGAGCCCTGACGATGTCTTGAGGCAGGCTCATCAATCTCAGTAAAGCAATTCCCTCATCAGTCAGTGGTCCTCATTTTTCTGAAAGGATACGAAAGAAAACATTTGAATTATTGAGCTGTATTCGTGCCAGGGCTAGAAAGGGGAAAGAAAACATTGAATTAACTCCACAAAGCAAAGCCCGCTACCAGAACTCGTTGTTTGTGGAAGAACATTATAACAGAGTCAGATCGCCCATTTTGATGAGTTCTGTGACTTGATTGATCCTGCGAAGAGGAGGCCAACATGTTAACTAACCTCAAGAATCAGTAATGGGTAGCCCAGCAAGCAGGTCATCCGTTCATCTGTCGGTCCTCCTCCCTGCTTCCGGTTCCTCGGGTTTCTGTTTGCTGAGGCTGTCGAAGCCCTGACGATGTCTTGAGGCAGGCTCATCCTCATCTCAGTAGAGCAATTCCCTCATCAGTCAGTGGCCCTCACATTGCTGAAAGGATTCAAATAACAAAAGGAAATGCCACGGCTCGAAAGGGGGAAGAAAACATTGAATTAACCTCACCAAGCAAAGCCCCGCTAACAGAACTTGTTGTTTGTGGACGAACATAGAAGAGCGCCAGATCGCCCATTTTGATTAGTTCTTGATTGTTTCTGTTTAAGTAGGTTACATGTATACACAAACCTGATAGTCAGTAATGGGAAGCCCAGCATGCAGGTCATCCGTTCATCTGTCGGTCCTCCTCCCTGCTTCCGGTTCCTCGAGTTTCTGTGTGATGAGGCTGTTGGAGCCTTGGAGGGTTGATTTTCGTCCAGACAAAGCAGCCTAGCTCATCCATGCAGTCTCAACTTTTAGATCATCAGTTTCTTTGATGAAAGCTGCAACTCTTTCCTAAGTGAACAGGGTAACGAAAACACTGGGCCTAGCCCATTTGTTACTGAAGTGAAACATTCCAAAGCATTATGTCTAAGCCTACCTGTAATAAGGCCACTTGTTACCAAATAGAAACTAAACGATTCTACCCTGTTTCCACTATTTACTTTTAAAAACAGACATGATCTTTTTTGTCATAATGCACACGAACATGTGCCAACGCCGATAACGGCAGGTTGCCAATAAGTTGTTCCCTTTCACAATGTCCTTATTTTGGGGGGCGGGGGAGGGGGGGGGGGCAATTAGGTCTTTTTGAAGGCACTTCTCGACAATTCCAACAATTTTGATGTTTTTGAAATGCCGCTGTAATATAACTGAAATTCAGTCATTTTCTAAACAGATATTTTGTTCATTATGGTTTTTCTTTTCGTAATTTCGTCAATTTCATTTTCTTTTGCTGCCGTCATTTTCCCACCGTTTGTCAAATTTCGCTTTCCGACTTCGACAATTAATTTTTATGCCGTTATTTTCGTCTTTTTGATTTGTTATTTCCATAAACCATTTTGTTTACTTTGTGGCAAGAATTTCATTTTCTTTTGCTGCCGTCATTTTCCCACCGTTTGTCAAATTTCGCTTTCCGACTTCGATGATTAATTTTTATGCCGTTATTTTCGTCTTTTTGATTTGTTATTTCCATTAACCATTTTGTTTACTTTGTGGCAAGAATTTCATTTTCTTTTGCTGCCGTCATTTTCCCACCGTTAGTCAAATTTCGCTTTCCGACTTCGACGATTAATTTTTATGCCGTTATTTTCGTCTTTTTGATTTGTTATTTCCATTAACCATTTTGTTTACATTGTGGCAAGAAAAATAATACCGATTTCGGGTAATTTTACTCTCACTAACGCTGTGATGTTTTCATCGCGTTATTTTCATCATTTTCCTAGCGTGTAGGCCTACACGTAGAAAGCGGAGTGATTTTTTTTTTCGGAAAAAAAATCGCTTACGATGTGATTTTCGCTACAATTTATTTTGGACCGATTCGAATTTTGTTTTCAGTTTTCGTCATACGCGTAGTCAAGTAAATATCCGGGTAGGTATTGCAGTAAAGGTAAAAAATAACACCGATTTCAGGTATTATTTATTCCAATACTGCCTAACATTTTAAAGTTGATTTCGTATTTTCGTCAATTTGAGGCCTGCCGCTTCAAAACCGTAACATTTTTTGCCCGACGTATTGCAGTTGAGAAAAAAATAAACACTGATTTCACGTATTTTTCCTTTCAACATCTGCTTCGATGTTGCTTAACGATTTGACATTTTCGTAGCCGCAACGATTAATTTAATTTAAAAACATGTAATTTTGTCTAAAGTCAGAGACAACAGACGGATACCATTAAAAAAATCACACCACACAGAGAGCAATGCACACAAAGGCAAAAAATCAAACATGCAACATTTACAATGAAACAAAATACACTCTACTTTTGAGTTTTTTCCCCCAAAAGTCATTCTCTCTGTAAGCATTTTTTTTACTCACAGATAAGTTTATCTTTAAATACTTAATAATGAACCGAGCTTAAAAGCTCTTCACAGAATAAAAATGTCTTTTATATAAATTTATGCAAAGTATAATTAACCAAAGTTATGACTTTTGATTTTACTACAATCATTAAAATATGGTCAACTGTCAACTGTGCCCTCACTGCTCACAGACTAGCAAAGTATAGACAATGCGGCGCTTTTACAGACGCTGTTAATCCCAGATTTTTTGACCTTTTAGTGTTCCTATAAGAGCGTATATGTCACTTTAACAGAGAACTCATTTAGGAATTAGTGTGATTTGTTATTAACCAACAGTTTTATCTGTATGGCTATTTAAGTAGTAGGCCTAACGTCCTTCCGTGTTTTTGTTAAATGGTTTAAGTTTTGATGTTCAAGTTCTTCTGAAGAAAGGGGCCTCTTGAAAATCGGCGCTACTATGCACCGAAGAGGGTATCCCTTACAAGTGACACTGCACCAGGCATGGTCACTGTCAATTGCCGATGGCCTAGATTTTATTAATCTTGTTTGCTCTTAAACATTTTATACAATTATAAAGAAATTATATCGTCGTTGGTGGACAACGCACCAGGCATTGCCACTTCCAGTAGTTGTTTTACTAACTTTTGTTTAATTATTGTTTTGAGTTGGGCAAAGTACCAGCCAACGTCCGTATAGAGGGCAGCATTCCAGTTGATGATCGATAAAACATCACAAAATGACTCTCAATCAATTACAAAATCGACTTTAAATTTGCGAGTGAAGTTTCTTGATAGCGAAAATAAAATAAAATACACCAGTACTTTCAAGTTTAGGGGGACAGTGTTATTCATTAGACAGATTTTCGTTTGCATTAAGTTAGTGTTATGTTTATACTTTAAAAACTTAATTTTTAGAAAACTTCTAAAACTTCCCATCGCACTGCCTGCAGGCTCAGTGTGCGCATGCTCGCAGCGGACTATGCTTGCTCCCTAATTTTCGTTGCTTCATTTTCCCTAACACTGTTCATTGCACTTTGCTAAACAGTTCCCTAGATTTTAACACTTCGAAGTATGGTACACGAAATCGCGCGATTACGCAGGTACGCGGATATGCGGATACGCAGGTACGTGGGTACGAAGACCAAGAGGAGATGAACATATTGTTCTTATTTAGGGCCTACTACTATACATATGACAATCACAACGTACGTACGTGATACATTTA